AACAATATTTTTTCTGCATTTTTTGTTTGTTTGTTTAGTCACTTAGGCTACAATTTTTTTTGTTTAATAGAGCATCTCAGTTTATGTTTTCTGGGGAAAGAAAATGAAAAGAATTTCTTCATTGCATACATGATGAATAAAAATCATGTATTAAACTTGTTTTTATAACCGCGCGCGCGAATGATTACCTGACGTTTTTTTTCTTCTTTAATTAAAACTGTGTTTTTTTCTCTTATGGATTTTTTTCAAATAATTTTTTTTTTGTAACAAATGCCGACATTTAAATCAAGGTTTAACATAACGTAGTTCGCGTTTATAGTGCGATAGCCAAACCAAGCCAAGTTTAGAATGGTGTTTCATTGCAATGGTCGATTGCAATTAAATTTCAGTGGGTGCTCGATTTCTCGAAATTTTCATCATAGCTAGGAGGACCATGGGTCTGAATCGTTGGATATATCCTCTTTAAGAGAGTAGAGAAAGATATAGAAGAGAGTTTTTGCCCTCACAGAGTTCATTAATGGGAATATTACACTCGTATTCAGTATCCACATGACACTCACATCGTATAAAACACATTCTGAACCCGTTGGCTGGCCCATCGCCACTTTCGAGCGAGCGCACGAGCGATCGTTTCTCATTTTCAATATATTAAAAAATAACCACTAAAACTTGTTTGCTTTTTTCAGTATATTTGTTTTTTACTCCATTTTTTTTTGTATCTAGTGTACAATTGCTAGCTTAGTATTTGTTTTTTCTTTTTTGTTTGTTCATCGTACAATAGTAATTATATACTTTCACTTTGACCAATGAAAAGAACCCGTAACGAACGAAGAAAAAAAAAATGACTTGCACGATCCAAGCGCTCTTCACAAATAACGATATTTGATTTGGTATGTGTTGTTGTTTTTTTATTCTCTTTAAAAATGGTAATGGATGTGTGTATATTTAAGTGAATGTGTGTGGTTTTTGTATCCGCTGATAAAATTGTTCGATATTTTATGCATTTTTGTCTCTGGTTGTTGTTTAAAAAAAAAATCCGGTGACGGAGCGCTTTCAACTCTAATTCGGTTGAATGACGCTGCCGTATCTCGTATGGGGACGACATTTTAAATGCCTTTTTTGCCTCATCAAATGCATTTTTTTTGTTCAATATATTCACTTTGCACTACAATAACATTTCAAACCACGAGTGTAACGAGAAAGGAAGAAAATAGACGGTAACAAGTGAATAAAAATGCATCATACTTGTTTCAGTTTGGAATTTTATTGAAGTTAAGCTTCGGTTATTTTTCTCTATTTCTTGTCAGTTTCAAAGTGGAAGTTAAAGTGAAGAATAACAAGTAAAAACAATAGCTGCAGGCAAAATGACGGAAGAAAAAGAACATTTAATCCAAATATTATTCATTGATATCACTTTTATGATGTTACACTCAATGGAAGTGATGTGAATATTTTAAAATGAATCGATTTCTCATCGAAAGCACTTCAATCTGCCTTTTTTCTGTTCACGTTCAGGTTGTTTTTTTTTATCACTTCTGTTCGTGTTTCTCGGCGAAATTGCTTTTCAAATTTTCGGATACTTTCGACAAAGACAGATGAGTGAAAGATGTAGGGAAAAACAAGAGCACGATGAAAAAGAAAGAAAAAAAAATGTTGAGCAGAAAATCAAAACGATTGATAAAAAAAACGCTGAGAAACAGCAAATGAAAATAGACGAGCAATGAAAACAAAACAAAAATTGGAACAACTGATATTCTTTCATAAAAACACCGGATATGGTTTGGAAATGTTAAAACAGTTTTCGAGCACTATATGTAGTGCAAAATGTCAGTGTGTTTGATAAAAAGGAATGCATGTGTATGTAAATGTGTTGATTAAAACAATGTGAACTGAAAGCTGTTGCCGCACAATTGAAATCGACGATGATGAGCTTTTTCGACATTTTGCAAATTGAATGAGATCGAGATAAGATTGAGTGGTTGCATATTTTCTTCGGCTTCTGGATTATGATGCTCCATTTTACCAATATTATACCTACTTCCACACAAGCCACTTATTTCGCACGCTATTTTGCCAATGTCCGAAAAAAAAGCTTACCCACGCCGAGACAAACCATGTCGATGAAAAAACGGATTTCGAAATAAAGAAAAACAATATGATACCCGTCGTTGGTGTGTTTTATACCACCGTTCAATAATTTATTGCACGAATATGTGTGTATGTGTTCTGCTTTTAGTAAGTATGTGTCATTTCAGTGCGCACGGACATTTATCTTAAGTGTTAAGTGTCGGTTTTAGTCGTAGATTCGATGTTCCCGATGACAATGGATAAAAGCGATTTTTTTTTGTTTTGTTTTGTTTTTTTTTTAATATAACGGTCAATTTGCCTAAATTCACTAGTTTAAATTGTTTAAAACATCTTTCATCATTTTGAATGACTCTTTAACCAAATATGTTTTATTTCATTCTTTTTTTTCATTCTTTTTTTCATCTTCATCTTCTGAGCAAGAAACGACTTGTTTATGCTAATTTGGATTTATTTGATACATTACGCCCTAGAAATTGTCAATCTGCATGATCTGTTTTCTTCTTCATAAAATATTCTTAAATTTGTTTTGTGGTTTTTGGTTTAGTATTCCATATGTTTTGGCTTTGTTTCAATTGGTTTGTTTTTTCTAAAATCATTTTTCTAACATATTTCGTTTGATAAGTTCATTTTTGGTTTGCTGTTTGCTGGTCTTTTTTGTCATTATGCTAATTGTTTTTTTTTTTGTTAAAAACTAAACTTTTCTATTCCATCTACAGACCGTTGTTGGTTGATTTTGTTGTTGTTTCCATTTAAATAAATGACGTGAGCTCGATCACAGTGTACATTTTCTTTTTGTTGGTTCGAACATTGTGTGTTTCCAATAAAAAAAAAATTAACATCACTTGCCACAAATGCTATTTTTTGTTTGCTAAAAAGCAAAGTATCTTCGAATTCGGATTCCACCGTAGCGATTGAAACTCGTAAATTTTCGACTTCTGTTGTAATTTGACGAAGCTGGAAAAGGTTCGAATCGTAAAGTTAAAAAAATCCAACGAAAAAATATTTGGTTCAATTGTTTACCTCGAGTAAAATTAAACTCTATAAATGTGCCTGATTCGTTCATCACCTGCACGAAACCATCGTCAAAAGATCGGCACGCACACACACATACACATCAAAAAGCTCATTTTATGAATATTCCCGTGGCCCGATCTGAAAGAGACAATTTGCAAATAGCAAAATATTAGTAACACTGTGTATGGAATGGTTTCCAATTGATAAAATCCATCAAACTGTGTTGAATATATTTGTGTGATTGGATGCGATTGAAAGGAAAATCCGACCGAAAAAAAAGCAACCACCAATCGATTGATTGATTAAAATCATCATTTTTCAATGTTGCGATGCGATTCTTGCAATTGGCTTACCTCAATGGTTGTCTAAATGGTGTGACGAGCCGCCGTCAATCAAACTCTGTCTGAATCTCGTTCAATCCCGCTCTTTTGCTTTCGTTATCGCTCGCACTCTCTAGATTTCTGTGTATGTGCTTCGTCTCTCACAATGACGGAGAGTGAATAAAACGACGATGCCTTCGAATCGAATATCAATTTCGTTTTATTTCGATGGAACGATTGCAGAACATGTTCCATTATTGATGTCCCCTCTCGCTCTCTTGCGTTCACGCTCGCTCGCTCCACTCAGCTTTTGTTCGTCATTTTGCATCGAAGGTGGTCCCACATCGTGTTGTCGCTATGATGCCAAAGAATCTGATGAATATTGCAGAAAATTGCGATTTCGTTTTACGGCGTCAAATATATTTCGTTCTATGTTCGGCAATTAGTGCAATTTTGCTATTTTCACTTGCTCCTTGTCCAAAATGATGCATAAAATACTTACAATTCATTGCTTTGTAACGTTTGTGTACGCATATCGAAATATTACAGCGAATACGAGAGAGAGTGAGAGAAACGATGATTGTAACACACCATCGTTGTTGCCGATGTCGTCGTCATCATCATCATATGCCAAGGATGCGAATTAATTGTTTCTAAAAGCTTGAATTTCAATAAATCGCTAATGTGAATAATCTCGCTTTCTTTCGTTTTTCTCCCTTATGCTCGATGTGTATGAGTGTGTTTAATGTTCTGCGGCTCGATGCAGTCAAACGAAAATGGGCTCACTCAATGTGTGTGTGTTTATGTGAATGATGAAATGCGGGAAATGTAACCATTAGCAAAATCATTCGTCATTTTGAAATTCTTAAATCGTATGTTTGTTCATTTAAGCAATAGCAGCATATTTTTTTATATAATTTTTTTTTCTTTCTGTTCGTTTTGGCTTCGTTTGTTGTTGCTTCTATTCTGGAAATTCAAGAGCCTCGTTGAGCACATGTTTCATTGCACCTCCACATAACGTACACACACACACACACACACACAAAATCTACAAAACATCGAAAGCGCAATTTGCATTGTAGTTTATGGAGTATTATGGAGTTGTATGTGCACGATGCATGTTTATTCAATGAATCAAACTGCGATTCATGAGATCAAAAGGAAATCAACCCCAAGTTGCTCTGATGGTTTTTGGCATGGTCTTGCTTTGCTTTTCTGCATATCATCCGATCCGAGGCACACACACACACATACACACCAAAATAGAAAAAAAGCAGAAAATAAAAGATGAAACACAACGACAGATGTAGTTCAACCGAAACTTTGAGATTCAGCGTCGAGATATGTATATGAATCTATTTTCGAAATCCGGAATAAAATGTAGCACTTGAAATGTTGTGTCTATCTGCCTCTTTCGGTCGCTTTCTCTTTGTCATGAGCGTTTGCTGAGTTGCTCCTTTGCATTTTGCTTATTATTTTGTATGGGTGTGTATGTGTGTGTCATTTATAAAAAGATACCATCTAATTTGCTTTGGATTTTCTCTTCGTCTTTTTTTCTTCCTGCTTGTTATTCCTGTCTTTGCTCTTCTGGATTTTCTTGTTCTCGATGCTACATGTTCAGTTTGTTAAAAAATAAATTGTTTCTTTCCCATTTGTCTTAGCAGTGCGTTCGGCATATCTTTGTCAGCTTTTTGTCAATTATTTTATAGTTAGTTCTTCCCCTCTTGTTGTTGCAGTGTGATGCGAATACGTTGTCAGCGTGTGAATTTACTCAGGTTTTAGTCGATGCCATTGAATGATAGTTTGTCGTGGCTTTGATATCATATCTTGCCAGTGTTTGGTTTCATTTGCGCCGGAACCATTTTTACCTGCACGAACGACCAGCGATGGCATGAGCAACGGTGGATGAAGCGACGGATAGAACAAAATGATGAAACGAACAGAGATCGAAAAATTAACCGGGGAAGAGAGAGAGAGAGAGAGAGAGAGAGAGAGAAAAGGATATCAACGTATTAAATATGATGATAATGATGAAAAAAGGTGATTTTGCTATGTCAAAGAAGGGATTTAAAAAAAGGCATATCTTGAATAACATATGAATCGTTTGGAGCGAAAATGTAATACAGAAAAGTTGAGCGGAAAAATGTCGATGATGAATAAGCGGAAAAGGGATAGCTATATAGTATCCCTTTTCATTTGACATTTTTCCGCTCAACTTTTCTGTATTACATTTTCGCTCCAAATCATTCATATATCCATACCGGCTAACAAAATCCGTCCGATAAGCTCATTGCGGCCGATATTATCAAAGTCCATAACCATGACATCTAGTGAACATTCCCGAATCTTTTCCCATGGCACATTAAAACTAAATGATTCATTAAATACTGGGTTCAGCGTGCATTTGAATATTGGTGTCTTTCGTTTTTCGATGCGTTTATCACCAAATTGGAGCCAAACTTTAACATATGGATCTGTGTGGCGTAAATAGGTGGTGAGGTGGGTGGGATAGAGAGAGAGAGAGAGATTGGTGGTATTAAAACATTGTTTAGATATGTATTATCATGGTAATTTCCATCATGTATCACGTTTAGATATCGATAGAAAAGCTCGACCTTGACTCTTGCAAATCTCAATGTGGCATTTTTTCTACATATGTATGTTGTTGTACTCACCAGATTTGCCATTAATATCTTTGGCTTTCAAATTTCTAGCTTTAATTAGTGATAATGTCAAAATCGAATTCGATGGATGATAGCAAAGTGTAGTCAACAATTCGCCGCATTTATCTTTGGCTGGCGGTTTCAATGCTTTCCAATAAGATTGCTTCCCGGTTAAGTCAACCTAGAGTTAAATGTGTGTATGTGTTGGAAGTGAATTGACAGCAAAATAAAAGAAGAAGAAAAATGTGTCGAGACACAGTAGAGGAAAAAAAAGAAGAGAGAAGAGTATGAGTTTGGTGAATACGTGACACTTATTAATGGCATGTGTGTTTATCGATTGTTTGCAATGTGAAAAAAGTGTGGTGTGGCATGATGAAGGTACACAAACACATGCACACAATTCCAAAGTTGTCAATTGTCGAGAGGCACCACATCATCAAAACATTTTCTTGATTAAGGAAATTAATCTGGTTGACGGAGTGGAAAATACACACGGATTTCATCGTATCATTCTCTCATTCGTAGTGAGTCGACAAGTGTGAGTCAGAGCACACAGCAAGCGAGATAGAGTGTATGTGTTTGAGAAAGAAGAGGAGAGTGAGAGAGTGGAATGCTTTTATGCGCTTAAATTTTAATTTTGAGATTAAGCCCTTTCAGCTCTTCCAGTAATGTTTGCTGTGCTGTCGGCTCTTACTCACTCACACTCTCAATCATTAGCTCTATCTGCATACCCGTGTGCGTACTGGTACTTAGCACACCGAACTTTAATTGTACGGTGAAAACGCTCTATCGAAAAATCAGAATAATATAAATTAATTGGTGTGTATTTTATTAATCCTTGTCAAAGATTTACTCTCCGGACCGTTTTTCCCCCTCGGCCACCTCTCATTACCATCATTTTTATGTGTGTGTGTGTGTCTCTCAACAAATGTTCGCTGCATGGAATTTGCAAAGTTTTAGTTGAACTTTCGAACAACAGCCGAAAACCCATGGCAAACACTGCGCTCTGCTATCTATGTGTCGATGTGTTTGTGCCGAAGCACTCTTCAGCACATCAACACTAAAAGGAGCAAGCAAGAGAGAGTATAAATTCTGGGTGGGGTGGATGGGCGACAGAGACAGAGAATTACTTACTTGACACAATGGAAGAAATACTTCTCCAATGGAATCGTCTCTTGAAAATCGATCGTAGTCGAAAACATGCAAATGAAGCACACGTGTATTCAGCTTTTGGATGGGAAATCCTTCGAAATAGAATGTTTCGTTCCATCTTGGATTCAATGTGCGTCGCTTGATTTTCGTTTCAAGTCGATGCTTTTTGTCTGGCAATAGAGTTACCCGTACGTAAGGATCCGAAGTGCCACTCAAATCCTTTGCTGGTAAATCTTTACCCTGTTTTGTCGGTCGATTTGTTCGTCGAATCAATTGGAATGTCGTTAGTTGCAGGCGCAAAATCCGGTTGTAATTGGACGAGGGAGAGAGAAAGAGAGAAAAAAATACGGCACCGAAATGGAGAAAATGGCAAGAGAAAAACAAAAGTGAAACAAATGAAATATAGTGTAAACAGCATATCGATCAAACACAGAGTAACATAAAATTTTTTTTTAACGAAAATTGTATACAAGAAATGAAAGCTTTAGCTTCTGTTTGTGATTTGATTCATACAACTCACACACATATACACATTGATTGCCGGTTCTTTCCATGCCGAGCGCATGTGTGTATGCGAAAGAGAGTTCAGCACTCAAAATGTTCGCAACTAATAATCACAAAACTAAAAACTATGAACTGTTCGTAAAACGGAAGAGAGTTGTACAAACAATCGATTTCATTTCACTTTAAGTAAATGGGAAATCGTTTTTTTTTTCTGCACACAGCCACATATTCGCATATACACACACCGTTCGATACATAAATTCTAATACGATTGATGGCAATCGTGCCCAAAACAATTTTCAAATTCGGTGTGCGTGCTCATGGAATTCTATATGGCTCCTCCACGGGACTGGAGAAACAATCAAAGACAGCAAGGCAAAATTTAACAAATTTATCTGCAAAATAACCAGCCCAAGAGAGCGAGAAAAAGATATAACGGGAGAAAGAGAGAAAGAAAACAATAATACCAATTGTGTTTACCTGTAAAATTTTCAGTATCAACGTATTGTTCTGGAAGTCATATTCAACACAAAAATGTATCTGACCAACGTTTTCAGTTGGTTCCGCATTGTCTATGTACATATCAATCATTGAAGTACTCCGGTTCTAGAATCGCACATCCATCGAAGTAATAGAAAGAGAGAGGGAGAGAGAGAGAGAGAGAGAGAGAGAGAGAGAGAGAGAGAGAGAGAGAAGGAAAAAGCAACAAATATTAGGTACACATAGAATTTATGGTCGATTTGGTGAAAAATGTTAGTTACGAATGGGTACGGGCAACAAATGAAATGTAAACACAATCTAGAAGATTGCCATTATGGATGTGAGACACAAGCACAATATGGAACATCAAACATTGAGACAAAAATACGAAGGAATTATTATGAGTTTAAGAATATGCATTGTACGATGATCCACGCACACATCGCACGCGTGTGCGCGCGATTTGCAGAATTTAATTTTCAAGTGCCATTATCACTGCAAACGCAATGAACAGTCGTTTGATTCACAATCCGATGATTTCGTGATCGATGAATGTGGAAATCGAAGTGCTACATTGATAAAATGTTAGAATGTTTCTGAGGGAGCTTTTTCGATGATTGTTTATTCCAACATCTAGATTTCTTCGTCTGCCAGTCACCGTTTGTTGCGATTCATCCTCTTTATCGATGCTATCGCCGCTTCAATTCCGTTGTTGTTTTCTTCCTCGTTGTATTCAGTACACTCATTTTCTTTTTTTTTTTTTGGTTTTTTTTTTTTGTTTGGCATTGGTCTAAAACTTACGGTTTGATTATCTTGTTTTGGTCCGCCAACATTCTGCCTGCCCCCATCACCGTTTCTATCGCCCGATGAACTGCCGACTGGAGATTTTGTTTGCGAACTTGATCTAAAATACATAACAATGTGTTCCAAAAAATTACTACAGACAGACAATCGATATCCGTTCACACATTTAATTTGCAACAACATTCAGTGTCTTTGTGTTTGTGTTGTGGACGTGCGAGTGTATTATATGTGTGTGTGTAAGTGTGTATAAATTTCACATGTTATCATCGTCATCATCATCGTTTGCCTTCATTCTGCAAAATGTGCGGAGGATTGGGCAAAGGGTTTCTGTGCGTGGAATTGGGAGGAAGAGTTGGTCAACATATCTATGGGGCGGTTCAATAAAATTGATTCTCACATCAGCTATCTAAGTGTTTTTTTTTTTTCTTTTTTTGCTTCTTCTGTTCGGTTCGTTTTCCGTGCGATTGCATTCGATTTTGCTGGGTTGGATTGGGAAGGTGGAGGCTAAGGTCTGTTTCATTCGAGCAATGGGTTTTTAATACTAAAGTAAGAAGAAAAAAGAAACGTGCACTAATGGAGTTTTTGTAACTGTTATTGCTGTTGCTACTTCTGCCGCAGCTTTTTTTCTATTTGCATTAACCAGAAAATTAATTGCTCAAGACACGTGCGATTTGGACATTTTGTTTCATCTTTCTGTATTTTCACACACCAGAAAAAAACTGTTCGCTCTCTTTATTCCTTTGTGTATGTTTCATTTTGTGTGCCACTCGATTTTTATCTATATATCTAGCTGTTGTGAATACCAACTCATTTCATTTCATTCCATTTCATTTTTTTTCTTCTTCTGTTTGTTTCGCAACGAAACGATACAATCTTGCAAAGCACACACAAAGTGTGGATACATGTACATTTCAGCATTTGGAGTGGAGAAAAAGCAAACGAAATGAAAATGAGGCGAAAAGCATTTTGAATGCAAATGAAACAACGAGCGTGGCATGTCTGATTGCAGAAGTACAACCAATTCGCAATACACACTCACATTCGTGCGCTCACTCGTTCGCTTCGTATTGTGTACAAATTTATATAAATGTACTGAGTGCGAGTTGGACGAGGCAGAAGAGAGCGTAAGAGAGAGAGAGAGAGAAAAAAAGATTTTGAGAATTTTTCAAATGAATTCTTTTTCTGCTCGCTCATCAGGATCTGTAAAGAGAAATAAAGAAACGAAGAGAGCGAGTGCAAAAATACGTAGGTATATGTGAACGTGCTTATTCGAGGAGTTACAGTCAACATATGATTTTGCTTGCTTTTGACCAGGCCAATCCGAAGAGAATAAACTGGCGGGAGTTTAGTTTTCAACATTAGTCTCGGTGGAGCTAAACCAAAAAAAAATGTTCATTGCAGACATTCGGACCAGCTAACATTTCTAAATACATATGACCCGCTCGGATTTTGCCTTTTGTTAATAGGTTTTTATATTTCTGCTTGCTTTTTCTTCTCTGTTCATTCAACTGCTGCTATTGCTGTTGTTGTTGTTGTGTGCTGAAGAAGATTTTCATCAGAATGGCACGGGAATGGTGTATGTCTCTGACACAAGAGAGAGAAAAAAAAACACCCATCGAGTGTGAGAATGCAGGAGTGAGAGGAGAGAGAACAAAAGTGAGAGGAAAAAAAACAGTGGACTAAACGCCCAAAACAACACAAATGCTGCATTTGGATTACATTAGAGAAATGGGTCGTCTTTTAGAACCATGGCTAATTTTATCACTTTTAGGGAGGAAGGAGAGAGGGAGACACCGGGTGAGTGTGTTCACGGAGGAAAGAGGGTCAAGTATTGGATAACAGGCAACACAATCCAAAATAATGACTCATTTATCATGCACAAGCTAGTTAGTTGGTGTTTAAAAATAAAAATCCAGTGTGTTTGTTCGTCACATATTTCTTTTTCCCTCTCTCTCTCTCTCTCTCTCTCTCTCTCTCTCTCTCTCTCTCTCTCGCACACAAAAAGTTTAGCTTTCTAAATTCAGTGTCGTTTTCAGTTTTATTTGTATAGTTTTAATGTGTCGCACGTTTGTTAGCTATATGACTATTTCGAAGAATCAACTAACTAATTTCACTACGACAACATACAAAAAAAAAGAATGAAGAAGACCAAAAACGGAAAAGAAGAGCGTGAGCTCGCGCGCATGTTCGACATACGGCGTTTTTCGGCGACCGCGAGATTTTCTATGATGTTCTTACAATTCAAGGTTGATTTCTGAATTGCTAATGTAACATGTGGTGCACGTGTGAGTGTGGGTATGGAATTGGCTCCTATGTGTCTGTTATATTTGCTATATTCACTTGTCAGAAATGTCATAGCAGTTGTAACGTATGCGGACAGCATTGATTGCGTTCGCGTTTTTTTTCTCTTCTTTTTTCTTTTCACTCTCTATCCATTGGTGATCGCGTTTTTTTCCGTTGGTGCAACATACTGTAAACTGGAATAACGAACATTCGTTGTTTTTGTGTGTGTCCTCTATTCTAAAATACAATTGAAAGGGTTAAAAATGAATGCTATACTAAAAAAAACACAGCACGGATGCGCTTGAGACTGGTTTATTTGTTGTTGTTGGTTTCTAACGAATCGTTTAATGTGCACAAAGCGGAATTTGCTAAAAAAACAATTTTAATGTTATCTAGGATTGTTATAAGTGTGTTTGGTTTTGTTGGTATTTTCATGTTAATTGTATTTTGTTTCTGCGTGACATTCCATTGTTTCAGACCAATGGAATTTTGTGTGTGTGTGTGTGTGTCCATTTCGTTGACTGTCAGGGGCATTTTATGTTTGTGTGTGTGGTTTTTTCTAACATTTTGATCGAGATGTTTTTGTTTTGTATTCCGTGTATATTTCATTTTTGTGGTCGCATCATCTCAATGAATGCTCGGTGGTGTGCTCAGTATTTTTGATGAACGAAATGAGCTTTTTAAGGTTATTTTTTTCATGTGAATTTTTTATGTTTGTGTTGGTGTGGTTGTGTGTGTGTGAGTGAGTGATTGTTCGTACTTAGGGGAGTCGAGGTTTTTTTTGGTTGTTGGATGGGCCGAAGGAATGAAAAGAATGAATAACTTTGCACGAAAAAAAACAAATATAATAACAAAACCGCATCGCTTATCGTGTCCATTTAACCAGTAGTTTTATGCTCAATTGAGCTCGTGCTCACGTTTTTTTTCTTTTGATTTAATTAAATCATTCGCTGATGGGCCATATTATGGAGGTGCACTCTTCATTACAGCCAATTTATGTCAGCAAATTGACGAGCAATACACTAACCACGAGACTCACCGATTGCAAGATGGAGCGTATGCGCGAGTAAGTGAGCAAGCGAGCGATACTACACGACAATAGTAAAAATGGAAGCGGTTGAAATTTACGACTCTACGGTGATTTGTTTTGCCTCGTTATTCCTTCTCTCATTCATTTTGCCCATGTCTACGTTATGTACAGCATAAAAGTATTTAAAAAAAACCATTTTCAACTACGGGCATGCAAATTACTAAACACGAAAGGAATGAACGTGACAACTGAATTACATCGGTTTTGAGCGGCGCTCTGTGATGTGATTAGGACTTGAGAGAAATTTAATTAAATTTTTTCAAAAAGAGAAAAAAAAATGTCAAATGCGAATAAAGTAAGCAAGCAAGGAGCGTACAAACGAGATCGAGTGAAGCTCTTGTATTCCGTTCGGTTCCATTCCGATGTTGCCGTCATTGTCATCGAATGACGAACGAAGCGAACATCTTCTCTCCGCTTGCCAGCACTTAAGGCATACATAATAATGTTATGGCAGGATACGCGATTATTGAATTAAGTTGTCAGGGTTTTTCCTTCCGCGTGTATGCGTACGGGGTGGGAGGAGGTGGGCTTGTGTATATGTCATTTCAGTGTGTGTGTGTGTTTAAATGTAAATAGAAACCCAGAGGTTGAAAGAATACACCAGCAAGAAGAATCAACATCACTACCAGCTATCAAAACCGGAGCGATATAGAGATGAAGACACACGGACACACAGAGACCGATCCAACGGAATTTGTGTGTGTATGTATATTGTTATTGTGTGGCCCGTGGCAAAGGAATACCCTCTTCTCTTATTTTGCCGAGAAGAGCCATAATGGGGCAAATGTCGGATTTGTTTGCAACTGGGCTGAAATTCTTTTGATGAAATCGTCGTGTACACTCTCATAATTCTAAGTACACCATCGAATCGAAGAGGCGATCCGACAATGAAAAGAGCACACCAAGTCTCCAGATTGATAAAGACTCAGCGAGTGTGGAGTGGATGAGAATGAGAGAGGGAGGGAGAGAGAGAAAGAGTATTTGCGATTGGAAGCTGTTTTGCGGTATTGACTTTTCAACTATCTCTGGGTATTCTTTTGTAATGTGTTTGAGGTTTAGTGTTATGCTTAAAGTGTCTTTGTGTCAATGTTGTTTTCGGCTTTGCTTGGGCTTCGGCATTCACAGTGGGTAGGGTAGGGAGATCGGTTATGTGTGTAGGTTGGTGGTAGTGGTGGTGGTGGTGGTAGTGGTGGTGGGTATTTGGTTTGTGGAAATCCGGCTCAAAGCGAAAACAGACAGGCAATCAATCATTGGTCAATGAAGTACATACCCAATTAATGGTGTTTTCAAATTCAGAAAACCATTCAATTTGCGATTGATATTATTTGTGGTTTGCTGCAATTGTTGTTGCGATTGAGATTGCACAGGCGATTTGCTGCTTTGCTGTGCTGAATACTCTTGCTGTGGCTGTTGTTGCGTTTCAAATTGCTGCATTTGTTGCAATTGCTGTAGTCTGCTAGCGCACAAAAAAGAAAAAAAAAATAGAAACAGAAAAAAGTCACCAAATTATTTTTGTCTCGGAAAACGTACGAAAAAAATAAACGAAAACAAAACGATAAACGAAATCAAAATAGAAAATTATTTATGATTTTTTTCTGTTATTGTCCATATTAAAATGAAAACGACATAAAAAGCAAGCTCAATGGCGCTGCTCAGCAATGAGCAATTGAGCGGGGAGCGTGCAATAAGCCAAAACCTACGTGAAAAGCAAAAAATGAAATACATTTTACTCTCTATCACACATATATCTATACATTTTCTCATAAAACAACTTATAAATGCAATAAATTTTATATCAAGCTATTTCCATGAATACGAATAAACAATAACGAAAATCATGACTATACCGAAAAGGAAGAAGAAATTTTTTTTAAACGACTTATATACACAAACATAGACACATACACACACACACACACACACATTTTGAGTGCTACCACTTATCATAACATTAATAATGAAATCAAATTTTCATTGAACAACTTTTGTTATTATTCGCTTTGTAAGTGTGAAAACGCTTTCTGGCGCACATTTTGCACATCACCATACATACAGATTGAATTGAGGCTATGGCAGGCTTTTGATTGCACAGAGTTAACCATATTAGGAGCGAAAGCTATTTTAATTTTCCACTCCCGCTGAGCAATCGAAACACACTTTATCCGGCCGTCGCCTCCTATTCCTCCTCTTCGACGACCATTTAAATATTCAATGTGCGCACCGCACACATCCAACCTAAAACTATCAAATAACAAAACGCAATGAAAATGCTTCGAATAACCGATTTCAATGATATGACATATTTCACATTCTCTAGCACTGCATCAGAAAATGGGATATTTTCAATATGTGTGCTCGACACAACCCGAGCGACGTATATATGACGTCAATTATGTCATGTTTCACTTTCGGCCGCTTTTAAACACCAAACGTTCCATGGCAAGCGATTTTTTTTTTAAATTTTCGACCATACCTCGAGCATGCTTTTGTATCTTTGCCAAAAATGGTTCTGTACTAAGCTGAAAAAACTTAGCTAACCATTTAAAATACATTGCGCAAGCCATCTAGGTGGCGCCACAAGAAAATTTGGTTCTTATACGAGGTGTATGCTCAAGATATGTTTTCGACCCGGATTATTTCCGAAAAAAGGTATCACTAAACGAATCATCGAAACGGTATAGCCACTTTAAATACAAGTACAAAGTTGAGCCTCTGTGAAATGCATTCCCGCTCAGCATGTTACTGAGCTGCTTTTTATTTAAATTTGTTTTATTTTTCGTCTCGTTTTTTTTTTGCTAGTCAAATGGAAAAACTTCTACGATCGAAATCATTTTTACAGTTCCTAGGGGCTTTTAAGTCAAAATATACATTCATATTTGTGTGAATATTTCGTGAATATTGCATATAATCCGTGTATATTATTCACCATATTCACAGAATATACACAGCATGTAAAAAATATGTGTTTACGGCAATGTCGAATCTTTGTTACCGATCGTGAATATGAGGTGTATATTTCATGAATATCGTGTATATTCCGTGAATATGGTGCATATTTTGCCAGTATTGTGAATATTTCGTATGACTGTCATCTATGGTGTATATTTCTTGGATGGAATATACATGGAAGCCCCTAGTACAGTTCTCGTACGGCTAGTTCGTAGAAGGGACGGAGAGAAAGAGAAAGGCGATGAGGATTTTCCTTTCTCAATGAAGTGATTGCTCTTGTCCCCCGAGGAGAATGAAAAGCATTCATCTGTATGATAAATACAAAACGGATGCTATGGCTGCCGTTGCCGATGCTGTTGCCGAACAAGCATTACTACGTATAGAATGAAAAGAAGAAGAAGCAGGAGGGAAAAAATGGTCTAGGGAGCAAAAGTCAAAAGCTATTATCAAATCAACGGCACTTTGTGAAAGACGATTATTGGAAATGCTTAAAAATGAGTTTGCTTAATGCGCCAAAAGCTTTTACGCTTTCCACCTCATAATATTTTTGGGCACACGAAGACAAAGCCTGCACCAGAGTCGGATAAAAATCAAACTAGCGACTGTTTACATGCACGCGATGCGAACATTGCAAATGAAAAGCATGTGCTCCGATTGAGGCGAAGAAGAGAGATGGCGGCCAAAACATTGCGAAAATAATTGTCTTTTCGGTAAATGAGAACATGTTTTTATCTCATTCTCCGCTGACATTGACAATGGGGTTGAATGCATTCAAATCAAAGACTGAATGTGATTGTTCGTTGTATCCATCGAGTTGCTTTTTTTTTCGTGCGATATTTGCAAAGTTAGTGGAAAACTGTGTGTTGTTTGGTTAAACACAGAAGATACCAGAAAGAAATGAGTGTCGGTAAGGAAAATGCTAAACGCATTGTTCTTTTTTTTTCAAATGAATACGAATCGCTGACCCATAAGAAGAACAGAAGTTCGAAATTGAAAAAATGAGAAGAAAAAGCAACGATGTGTACCGGGAGACTGCTTGACGTTAACGCAACTGATATCGCTGTAGCACTTACACAGACAGCACCGTTCGATGTAGAAAATGCATTTTCACTGCTAAATGATAATTTGTAGTTTTGTAATCAAATTTAACGACATTTGCTAGATGATAAAACCGGAGTGTTTGGCGAATGACATTCAAACGATAAGCGGAATTCATTGTGTTGAGAAAATAAACGAACTAATGGCTAATAGTGTTTGTGTGTGTGTGTGTGTGTGAGTCTGTGTGTATACACTGGTTGTCGCATTATTGTTTGCTGTTCACCAAAGCGAATACAATAAATGTTGTTCTTGGCTTAGAATTAGGTCTCCAATGCGCTTCGTTTTCTCTCTTCGTCTCGCTGGTGGTTGCTTTTTCTTCTTTCGTTGTGGATTTTATGCCGGATAAATGTGTGCATATAAGAAAAAATTAAACTGCAGTAAAGTGTATTTAATATTTGCAAGAAGAGGAAAATAGCGAAGCGAATTGCCGGAAAAGTTATATTGTAATAACTTCTATTGATTTCATTTCATCTCATCTCATCGTAAGATGAAACAACTTCATGCCGAAATATCGATTCAATTATGTGCATATGGCAAAGTGCAACGGATATGATACTATGTAGCTTCATCGTTTCTTTTTTCTCTTTCATTCAGCGGCTAAATGTGTTTACAGCGCACCATATAGCCCAATGTTATTCAATTTAACCAAGTTTTATCAGAGATTTTAACCATGAACGGGAAACAAAAAGGTGCCTAAGTGCAACAATGTTACCCCCAAAAGGACAATAATTTCATTTTCTCTGGCAAATTGAATAGCCGATTAAAGCCACATAATACATAAATCATCGCTCCATATATTTCGGAAATGTGTGCATGCATACTATCCCAAAAAAAACGGGATAGAAAGAGAAAGACTACTGACTTCAAAGTACTACTACGAAAATGAATGGAAATGAACACATTTTGGTACAGTCTGTGAAAAGTGGAAATAATGAGTGAGTGAATGAAAGCGAGACAGAAATAGTATGAAATGAATGAAGAGAAAGTGCACCACTTAAAAACAATTATCCTAATTGCAAGAGAGAAAAAAACAATTAACGTTTAATTTTTTTCGCTCCCTCTCTCTCTCTCTCTCTCTCTCACTCATTTGTTTTGAGAGAAGAGCGAGAAAGAAAGAAAACATACAGCGACCGCAGCGGTGGCAGTGGCTCTCAAACGATAAATTAAAGCGATCATACAAATGCAGATTATCTTTATCCATCAGCCATAATTAATGCCTATTTGACGTTTTATTGTGGGCGCATCAACGCAATCACATACACAAAACGCAAACGCATCGGCAGTGTGAGAGAGGGAGATCGAATGTGTGTGGCTCGAATTTTTGACTATAGTGCGTTCAACAAGGCAACGAGCGACAAAGAGACAGCAAGCTTCCACATGCCATATATAAACACATCATCGTGAAATGGTTTTTTGGCTGGCAGCAATTTTGCATTGAAGCTTGCATAATCGCAACGTTGACACAGCTGACTCCATGCCCATGCATAATGTGTGCCATTTTATCAAAAATGATTCCAATCTCTGGCTCTCACGCTTGCCAGCTTTTGCTTCCCCTCGCAGCCACATAGCTGAAAAAAAAACAAACAGCCACACCGATGGTTCGTCATCTCGTCTAACCATGCATGGAAACATTGACCAAATTGTGTTTTGCGAGCGTTGTGCTGTGTATGTGAATGTGTTTGGTGAAGCATGTAAATATCAACTACAACTATGCAAATGATTGCACTCAGTCTTTTTTCTCAGCTATATACTTTTCTTCTGCAGAAGGAAAAACAGTATTGTGTGTTTTTGTTTCTTCTGCACGTATCACTCAGTTTTTTTTCTAATTTTTTTCTATTTTTTATTTTAATTTTTTTCATTTCTCTTGCGTTTGGTTTTTTTCATTGCAAGCAAAACTAACCTTAGGCTTCCACTTGTTGATTCTTCGTCCTCGTGTGGCTCAATGAACTTCAACTGTGAGCGTTTGTGACGCCACCATAAATAACCACCAGCTAATAACAATAAAATCACTATTATAACACCAAGGGTTGCTAAACATCCAATTATTATGACATTAGCCATTATTTCGTCTGTGTGTTTTTTTTATATTCTAATTATAGAATACGATGCGTTTTTTTTGCTTAGTTTAGTTCAAATGCTAAAATGAATAGAAAAGAGAAAAAAAAATAGAGAGAATAAGATATAGAGATAGAAGGTATGAGCACAAAAAACGAATATAATGTGAACAATTATAATTATACAGAGAGTAAAAAAAAAAAAAAAAAAA